CCGTATTTTCAATTAAAAATAAAGTGTAAAGTCTATGAATACAAAAAATAAATTTAATAAATAATGAAATCTAAAGTCCCTATTTTGTGTTACTAGATGATCGAGTGGTAGGCCCCATAATTCATCGAACTATTTAGAAATAGTTAAAAGTTCATACTCCTAATCTTGGAAAATTGCAAAATATAAAATTAATATCTTTCTTAATAATTTAGTTTTAATTATAATGAAATCTATTGTAAGTCTCTAATTTAATAGGCAATACGTCAACGTCAGAGGGACTGAATAGGAAGTTCAATACTAAGGTGCATGGGTTTCATCAAGGAAAGGTCTTTAGAACTCGCACATTGTTCAAAGTATCTAGATGGGGCACGATAAACGTTCAAAATAATGTCCAAAAAATAGTTTACTTAAGAAATATATTTGTTCGATTATATCTTCTTCTAACTGGTAATTTCCCAGCTTTAGCCAGGGTCTGCGTTACTTGTTGTGAATAGTTTTGGCTAATTGTTTTTTACAACCGGCCGCCTGCCTGACATCAACCCTCTTTGGGAATGCATTTATCAGTGATGTCTAAATACATTTAGAAAGTACATATGACTCGGAAAAATCACATCGGTACTTGCCAGGATCGAACCCGTGCCCTCATGCATGGGAGGCGAGCCTTTTAACTACTAGGCCACCACTGACTCTATTTGTTCGATTATATATCCTATTAAATTAAATGAAAATCAAAGAATTGTTATTTAAATTAAGGACTATTAATTTCCTTACGCCATTATTGCGAAAAGGGCCAACAACTTTGAAAGGCATCCATTACGTAAACGTTACGAAATGAAATTGGAGACACCTAAATGTTATTAATTTTTTATTATCAATTTATTTACGACTTTATTGAGTGATATCGCTTTTAATCAAGCTCTCAATGTTAATATTTAATAACTAGTTTTAATATCCAGGTCGTAAAGTTATGAATATTTTTATGGCATATAAGACAATACAGAATGTATGTCAAATAATTATTGTATGGATAAATTAATAAAACTGAACTTATTTTATATTGACATAATTAACCAGACCCATATTTACAATATATAATACTTGCCACATAGAGAACCATACTTAATTAAAAACGCACAGTTGACTTTTATGATTTTAAAAAACTACGTGAATTTTTCTATTTCATCTTCTTGATAGTAATCGTTATATATACTTGACGTTCCTCTTTCTCTACATGCAATTATAAAAATGTTAATATTCCTTTCTGAACATATCTAGTAAAACACGAGCTCTGTAACACGTCACCTATTGTTAATGGATATTCAATAGAGCGAATTATTTGTTGGTCTATACTTAGGTCTTCGCGGAAATGAGAGTCACTGATTGTAGGTAGGTTTTTCACTGTGGCACTTTGACCCATCGTTAAATCACCATGAGAAAGTGTATTTTAGTACCTTGGACACCACAAGTAAATAGTGTATTTCGACAAACATTGACGTATTGTAACTGCTGTCTAGATACAACATTTGTACATTTATACTGTACCTGCAGTACTAAATATCAGATGAAACTGTTTGTGTAATTGAAAATATAGTTATTGTGTTTATATAAAATTATTAGATTTTTTGGAAGTACTGAAAGACTGAATAAGATATACATCGAAATAACTTTCTTATCTAAAATCTAATTAAAGCTATAATATCTGAAAATTATCCAAATTGTAATACTTATAAAGTAATTACTTCAAGAAAAATTCTCACGTAGTTTTCAAAAGGGATTCGGTGAAAGGAGAATCGTGAGAGATAGGTGATTGACCTTCACCTATACAATCCTTAAAAAGTTATTTAGAACCAATTAAAATATAAAATGTTTTTCAAATGAAATTCTTTTACTATCATTCTTATCTACTAACAAAACAAGAAACTACTAGAACTTCATATCATTTCAACGAATCCTTTTATTACGAACAGAACATTTATTTAAGACAATTATATTTATGGTTTAAACTTTATTAAAAATACCCAATGGTTAAAATAAAAATACATGTATAATTACAGCGCAATATTAAGAGCCGACTATTAATGTGCGCATAAAAGCAGTCATAAAAAAATGGGACCGGATTTGAAGCAATATGCACTTGAAAAGCAATGTTTTCAACGTCTCGCCGGCGCCGTTGTAGACAGAACTGACATTTACATGGGACCTTGCGTTTAACAATTTGCGAACAATACACGAGCTTGTCACCGTTCCCGGAACCCGCATCTACCCGGAGTGACCTCATACATACGACCTCCAACGCCTGCCGCTCAAATCTTCAAATGATCACACTCAAAAACATATCACACATAGCTCTGCGAGTATAATGGCCAATAAAACTGTTTTTATACATCGACCTCAACGATCTATTTATCATAAGGCAATGGTTGCGAAAATCATTTCATTGTCAATCATCGATTAATCAAACTATGTAAAATAGTTTAGTTAAAAAATTACATAACTCGGGAATTTCCATGAGTACGTCAGGAGTTAAGTAACCAACGGTGTCATAGCATTTGTGTTGCAGATAACTATTAATGTGATAAATTTCAGGAGTTAATTACGTTGTTTAAAATATAACACAATATTTTGGCAACATATATTTCTACATATTAATACGAAGCAGTCTAGGTGATAAATAAAATTTTTGGATAGTTTTTATATGGATGACGATAACAAACTTTGTGAAATAAAATATCATCTTTACAGTTGGTCAGACAAATTCCTTTGTTATATTGTAAAAGTGAAAGTTTTAAAATTAACTTAGCCATCAAATATAGACGGAGATGTAAACAATTTTAAAATATGCTGCCCATGTCTTGGCATTTTGTAAATATAATAAACATATTGTCACATAAGAATATATGTACATAAAATTATTTCTGTTGTACAAACAGAATATGATGGTTATGTATAGTTTCTTTTCCACTTTATTGTATTAAATTTCTAGTATTAATTTGTGTTAATTATTGTTTTGTCTGTTTTTCAGATTTTACTCAGTGTCTTAGCTATAGAAGTTTGTTAAATAAATATAGAATTGAATAAATTTACGCATGCAGGTCTCCCGTAGTGATGTACATATACCTAGTTTATTTTTTGAATAATATGTAAATATTATATTTTATGTTATTAACTTTAGAATCCAACTACAATACATTCGTCATTCACCGCATATTAAACAGAAGCATTTGACGTAAATGGTAAACGGAAAGCAAATGTCAAAATTGCGGCCATTTACAATACATCAAGCTGCCGCAGTCGGGTTGCGGTTGACAAATGAAGCTGTATTCTTCCTATATAATGTAGTCAACCAGTTGCTACCGTAATACACGTAATGCTGTACCATAGATTATGATAATACCGAAATAGTGATGTAGTCAATTCATTCCATTTTTATTATATGGACAGAAAGTTTTGATGCCTATGCTGTTCATTTTATTTGGTAGAATGCATTTACTTTTCGATGTAAAATAATAAAATAAAATACTCGATGTTCATTTGTTCTCCACAATCGCAAATATTTAAAATGATTATAAGTTGATAGGCTGTATTTACTTTTTTTTACTAAAACTGAGATACTAATGGTAGAATGATTTAAATTTGAATAAAAATATACAATTTATATATTTCAGCTAAAATAATTAAACTCATATGCTCAAGTGATATAACCAAAAAGTTATTTTCACACGTCGTGGACATCAAAAATCAATTCGCTTACTGAAACAGACAAGTACAAATGTTCATATATTTTGCATAATGTCGTTTCACCTTGAAACACAAAAATGCAAAGGAACAAAGGTCGATAACTGATCTGTTAAGTCGAAGGCTCACAGCATTAATACAGAACATAAGCCATTTACATAGTACAGGGGCTACCGAGATAAAACGGTAGATATGCGAGGGATTTAAATAAAATTAATGGTACTCTTAATGTAGACACCCACCACACCCGGAAGGGCTCAGCTCTGATATGCGATCTAGGTAGGAATTGTTGATTATTGTAAAAGAAATTATATTTATTATATACAATACCTTTACTACCTTAAAAACATACTAACTGTATACAAGATACAGTGTGTTTCGAGCAAACAGAGATTACTTATAAAATGCATTCTCGGAATTCTTATTGCTTATTAATTAATTATTAGCAACAATGCATCTCGTCCTTGGTATGCAGGACATAAAGATGTCGATATCAGTTTTCGTCATAGCCGAGTACCTATCAAGTAACATGTGCAATCGTTGCTTAACCAGTGAAACCGATCAAGATATGCCTCCGTAACATGTCTTGTAAGATATTTATGTACTTAATGATTGTTATTTAACATTTTTTTCATGTTATTGAATAACTCTAGGTACCTACTTAATTTCGTTCTGTCACTGAATGTCTAGTATTCATATTTTGAAGATATTTTCGATGTTAAAAACAATGTACCTGAAGATACATACATTTAATCTAACCCCTTTAAGACAATTGTCCAGTTACAGCTACTTTGTAATGACAAAATAAAACTTTTGCCAAATATATAAATTTGGCTCTTATAATTACACATAACATCATACTACCAAGATGGATGCATGTAGCTGACCTTAACACCAGTGTCTTACCGTTATATAATGAACTTTAAAAAATAGTAAGTAACGAAAACACTTACACAAATATGATACCAAACGCGTCTAGCAACTGAGACTCAATTCCAACCGAAATAAAATGGCAAATAATAAGAATGATACAAAAAATGCTATAAAGAGAACGGTCGATACGCCGCCTGCACTCCGCAGCGTCATTGTAGGTAGCTACATACGATGGAGAGCCAGGTCTCTAAGGCATTATCTTATATTAGTTTCTAGTTTAAAGACAAGGGAGAACCGCACATGCGCTGTAGCAGTCATTGATTTTTCACACTTTGACAGTTCAACCGATGTTTTGTGCTCGCACCCGCGTTTTAGAAACAAAGTAAACAGATATGGCTTTAGATTTTTCTGCTACATATAAATTATTAGTTTTAGGTGATTCTAATGTCGGAAAAACGTGTATAGTGCACAGATATTGTGACGAAAGATATTATGATATCTACATATCTACTATCGGTGAGTATATTATGATTTTAACAGTTTTAATAAGTGATAAGTCAAGTATCTCATTCATTCATTCCAAATGTAGATAAATTTACATTAAAAACATTAAAAATTAATGGAGTAATAGTATATGAGCTGAAAAGAGTAATAATAATTGAGTGCACTCAAATTTATTAGGTACATACCGACGTATTTTTAACCTGTTGTGTTCAGAAAGCAAAACAGAAAACCACTACTTTAATTTGTTTCGAAATGAATCATAATCTTTGACTTTCATACAATTATACTTGTGGTTGTTATTTCTTCGACGTTTGTTTGTTATTTCTTTTAAAATATTATATTCAGTAGAAATAAGTTTTAATAAAATATTAGATTTTCATCTTAATATTTTAAACTACGAGATATGATTAAGTCGAGACATATTTTTTTTAGGCATTGATTTCAAACAAAAGATAATCAACTTGGACGGTGTACCAATCAAGCTACAAATATGGGACACCGCAGGTCAAGAGAGATTCAGAACACTTACAACAGCGTACTACAGAGGTGCTATGGGAATTATATTAATGTACGACATCACTAACTTGGAATCATTCAATCATTTATCCTACTGGCTGAGAAACATCCAAGAGGTAATACGAAAAAAACCTGCTTCATATAAAACTATGAAATTTATTAAGAACATAACGTATCTATGATTACATACATGTAATAATAAATAAGATTGTTAATAAAACGTCATTTTCAGTACGCATCACCAGATGTTATTAAAGTTTTAGTGGGCAATAAATGCGACGTGCACGAGAATCACCGTGCCGTTCCTAGGGAAAGAGGACAAAAGGTTATAAATAATGTATAAAATATAGTCATTCTTATTTTTAGTTCGAGATTACAGTAAACACATTTCTTTTTTAAATTGTAGATTGAGTTTAAAATAATAAATATAATAAACTGCTCATTCTCAGATTGACATATGTTTTGTTGTTAATTTCAGATCGCAGATGATTTTGATATGCCATTTTTCGAAGTGTCCTGCAAAAGTAATATAAATATCGAAGAGGCGTTCGTAACATTGGCCAGAAAGATACGGGAATACCGAGAGACTAAGGTACCTTAGAACCATATATTTAATTTAAAAGTCGTTACTACTTGAAAGAATAATAAAGTATAAATTGTTATATTTGCCAGAGTTAAAAATATTTCCTTTGTTCTCAACTCACTCATATCTCTAAAATTTATTTGTTATTACTTGGAGAATGAACTCAATCAAATGAAATATATATTTTTTTAACCGAAATATAAAACAAATCTAAAATCATTACCAACTATTTTGTTATGAAAAATATGTAGCTCGATTTTAACCTTCCGTTTTTTAATTGGTTAAAAGTTATCAAATCAACATTTCAATTAATAGTTAGTTGTAGTTCTATACGAAAACAATGTCTTCAACAAACAATATCTATCATTATTAAGTTCCGAAACCAATAATTAAATGAAATATTGTATGACACGTATGTTTTTACTTTTTACTTAATATTTAAAGTAAACATATGTGGTATGTTAGTTTATTGTAGAAAGGATGTCCTTATTTTAAGGTTCTATACACTTTCTCAGACGTTTCAAATTTCTTTTTTCCGGTGGATCCCAAAGATCCAATAGTTTAGGTGTAAATCCCGTGCGATACGATATGACGACACAATATCCTGTAGCTTTAATTTAAATGTTTTTTTTTTCAAATATAATTGAAATGATTATTGAATTGGATGAATATTGAGAACTATGTTAATGAATACGCTCGATAATATATTGCATATTAAAAGTACGTGGATTCAATAAAATATATCATTAGATATTATGTATATTTTGTTAAAAAAACTTTTTCACATATATTTTACAGGCGGATGCGTTCGAGTTGAAGGAAAGAGACAACGTCATCAAAGCTTCTGAATCCGAAACAGACGTCTCCAAGTGTAGTTGTTAGCCTCCTCTTAATAAGACAACATTAACTAAATTTACATAGTATTGATTTTTAAAAGAAATCAAAAAAATCTAACGCTATCGTATGTCGCTGTGCTAACGATAGTTTTATTTTAATTTTCCTCTTGTGGTTCAAAAAATATTATATGAAATGAATATCAGCAATCAAAATTGTTAGGTATATATATATTAATAATAAATAAATAAAGCATCTGAGTGTTGTTTTGTAGGGAATCGATCTAGTAATAATATTTGCATGTACCATTAAAGTTTTCATGTTCTTATAGGGACAATATATTATACAGTTGTAACTTGATATTGTAGATGTGATATTTATGTAAGCCAGAATTTTAGCACAAATCAAATGATGAGTATAAACAATAGCAGTGATTTAATGAAACGAAACATAAGAAAATGATATAAAATATTTCAATTCTGAGAAGTTTGTTTTGTGGTGAAATCAATCTTGCTAAGTATGACAATTAATTGGATTGTTTTGTTTTAAAATTCTGGCCATTGAATAGAGACTGTACGCACGCTTAATGCATGTGCCCCATGGCGTTTACACTAGCAATTAGAATAATTTCTTAATAATATTAAAGAAGTCTAGTTGCGCATAGAAAATAATAGTTTGTTAATTTATTATATCAAGTTGAGGAAACAATAATTTGTTACAATTCATATTATTTTCATGTTAAGCGATCTCTTTATAATTATATGTAGGTAATTGACGTTTTTAAAATTTAAATAAAATAAATGATTGAACAATCAACAATCATGGCTAGACATCGTTAAAATAACAAATAAAATAAATGGCGATTATGCATTTATCTTATTAGTTCAAATATAAAAAAACTTCTTAAAATGTATTTATTATTATTTAATTTATATAATGATAATGATGTTGGAAACAAAATATGCCTTTGGCAGTAAAATAAGCCTTAAATGTCTGGCTTTAGCCGTTTTAAGATAGCCTATGCCAACGACGCTATTGCTCACAACGTGCAGACTCGAATAAGCACATTATACGAATTTAATTTTTACATAATAAAAAGTTTTAAACTTCATAAAGTATAAGGTCATAATAATGTCATTTCATTGTATTAATTCACCGTTTTCTATACATTTATATAAAAATTAATATAAAATTTAAGTAAACACACTTTGTGAAATGCACCGTACTTATGTTGACAGCACTAGTTTTAATTTAAGTTGTTAATGAATGACATTATTATGACATATTTTCTGAGGCACAAGTCTACATGTCGGATTAGTTCTATGTATTACAAATAAACTTTTACAAAAGAATGGTCTTTTACTTAGTAATCTTATGAAAGTCATTACAATTTACAGTCATGTGAATAGATATTGTTTGAAATTTTAATTAATGCCTATCCATGTTCATTTCATCAAAAGACGGGACTAAATGTTAGGTAGTTTTATATATTAACGAAAGGAAGACGAAATAGGAATTTTACGAATTTTGTTTGAATTTTCTGAATAAGTACCTTAATATTTTGAGAAAAACTTATAAATATTTTGACTATTATAGCTTAATACTAGGAGACCTGGAATTAGCAAAATGTATTCTATTCCAGGCTTTTCAGTTTATGTTATATAGCTATGAAAATACATATAATAATAATTGATGTAAGCCTTTGACTTTGCCAAATAGATTTCAGTAACTGATGAGTAAATTGACTTTAAGTAAATACCTTTGCCATGAAAATGAATTGCTTCTAATGGTTTATAGTTCATTCGTCTTTACGTCTTTGTATTTTTATTGTATGCCATTGATAACAAAACTATTATCCACAACAGATTTTTATGAGCAAAACTCGGTAAAGTGATATTGCTATTTTATTATAATATTATTTATTCAATGCTACCTATATAATAAATAACTTCCCGTTTCAAAACTTTATTCTGCGCCCCTCGTTACAGATGTCGCTTTTAAAAATCATCGTTGTTGTATGTAGTATTAATTATTATTAATATTTTTGACACCAAAAACAGTTTTTATATATTACAATTAGCGTTATCATATTCAGCACTCTAAGACTGTGTCGCAGACGTTTGAGTCTACCTCTCAATATAAGAAAGGTTTATATAATTCTTTTATACATAAAATATTGGTTATTAAGTGCTTTAGTAACGAATTCATGTCAATTTAATAACAGACGATTTACTAACAGTTGGTTAATTTATTAACAGTGGATTAATTTAATGACAGTCGATTTACTAACAGTGGATTAATTTATTAACAGTGGATTTACTAACAGTTGGTTAATTTATTAACAGTGGATTAACTAACAGTTGATTAATTTATTAACAGTTGATTAACTAACAGTTGATTAATTTATTAACAGTGGATTAATTTATTACCAGTGGATTTAATAACAGTGGATTAATTTAATGACAGTCGATTTACTAACAGTGGATTAATTTATTGACAGTGGATTAATTTAATGACAGTCGATTTACTAACAGTGGATTAATTTATTAACAGTGGATTTACTAACAGTTGATTAATTTATTAACAGTGGATTTACTAACAGTTGGTTAATTTATTAACAGTGGATTTACTAACAGTGGATTAATTTAATGACAGTCGATTTACTAACAGTTGGTTAATTTATTAACAGTTGATTTACTAACAGTTGGTAAATTTATTAACAGTGGATTAATTTATTAACAGTGGATTAACTAACAGTTGGTTAATTTATTAACAGTGGATTTACTAACAGTTGATTAATTTATTAACAATTGATTAATTTAATAACAGCGGATTAATTTATTAACAGTGGATTTACTAACAGTTGGTTAATTTATTAACAGTGGATTAATTTATTAACAGTGGATTAACTAACAGTTGGTTAATTTATTAACAGTGGATTAACTAACAGTTGATCAATTTATTAACAGTGGATTTACTAACAGTTGATTAATTTATTAACAGTTGATTTGTTAAGAGTTAATTAATTTATTAACATTTGATTAATTAATTAACATTTGATTAATTTATTAACAGTTGATTAACTAACACTTGATTAATTTATTTACAGTTGGTTAATTTATTAACAGTTGATTTACTAACAGTGGATTAATTTATTAACAGTCTAATTACTAACAGTGAATTAATTTATTAACAGTGGATTTACTAACAGTTGGTTAATTTATTAACAGTTGATTAATTTATTAACAGTTGATTTACTAAGAGTTACTTAATTTATAAACATTTGATTAATTTATTAACAGTTGATTAACTAACAGTTGATTAATTTATTAACAGTGGATTAATTTATTAACAGTGGATTAATTTAATAACAGTCGATTTACTAACAGTTGATTAATTTAATAACAGTCGATTTACTAACAGTGGATTAATTTATTAACAGTGGATTTACTAACAGTGGATTAATTTATTAACAGTGGATTTACTAACAGTGGATTAATTTATTAACAGTGGATTTACTAACAGTTGGTTAATTTATTAACAGTGGATTAATTTATTAACAGTGAATTTACTAACAGTGGATTAATTTAATGACAGTCGATTTACTAACAGTGGATTAATTTATTAACATTTGATTAATTTATTAACAGTTGATTAACTAACAGTTGATTAATTTATTAACAGTGGATTAATTTATTAACAGTGGATTAATTTAATAACAGTCGATTTACTAACAGTTGATTAATTTAATAACAGTCGATTTACTAACAGTGGATTAATTTATTAACAGTGGATTAATTTATTAACAGTGGATTTACTAACAGTTGGTTAATTTATTAACAGTGGATTAATTTATTAACAGTGGATTAACTAACAGTTGATTAATTTATTAACAGTGGATTTACTAACAGTTGGTTAATTTATTAACAGTGGATTTACTAACAGTTGATTAATTTATTAACAGTTGATTAATTTAATAACAGTGGATTAATTTATTAACAGTGGATTTACTAACAGTTGGTTAATTTATTAACAGTGGATTAATTTATTAACAGTAGATTAATTTAATGACAGTCGATTTACTAACAGTGGATTAATTTATTAACAGTGGATTTACTAACAGTTGATTAATTTATGAACAGTGGATTAACTAACAGTTGGTTAATTTATTAACAGTGGATTTACTAACAGTTGATTAATTTATTAACAATTGATTAATTTAATAACAGCGGATTAATTTATTAACAGTGGATTTACTAACAGTTGGTTAATTTATTAACAGTGGATTAATTTATTAACAGTGGATTAACTAACAGTTGGTTAATTTATTAACAGTGGATTAACTAACAGTTGATCAATTTATTAACAGTGGATTTACTAACAGTTGATTAATTTATTAACAGTTGATTTGTTAAGAGTTAATTAATTTATTAACATTTGATTAATTAATTAACATTTGATTAATTTATTAACAGTTGATTAACTAACACTTGATTAATTTATTTACAGTTGGTTAATTTATTAACAGTTGATTTACTAACAGTGGATTAATTTATTAACAGTCTAATTACTAACAGTGAATTAATTTATTAACAGTGGATTTACTAACAGTTGGTTAATTTATTAACAGTTGATTAATTTATTAACAGTTGATTTACTAAGAGTTACTTAATTTATAAACATTTGATTAATTTATTAACAGTTGATTAACTAACAGTTGATTAATTTATTAACAGTGGATTAATTTATTAACAGTGGATTAATTTAATAACAGTCGATTTACTAACAGTTGATTAATTTAATAACAGTCGATTTACTAACAGTGGATTAATTTATTAACAGTGGATTTACTAACAGTGGATTAATTTATTAACAGTGGATTTACTAACAGTGGATTAATTTATTAACAGTGGATTTACTAACAGTTGGTTAATTTATTAACAGTGGATTAATTTATTAACAGTGAATTTACTAACAGTGGATTAATTTAATGACAGTCGATTTACTAACAGTGGATTAATTTATTAACATTTGATTAATTTATTAACAGTTGATTAACTAACAGTTGATTAATTTATTAACAGTGGATTAATTTATTAACAGTGGATTAATTTAATAACAGTCGATTTACTAACAGTTGATTAATTTAATAACAGTCGATTTACTAACAGTGGATTAATTTATTAACAGTGGATTAATTTATTAACAGTGGATTTACTAACAGTTGGTTAATTTATTAACAGTGGATTAATTTATTAACAGTGGATTAACTAACAGTTGATTAATTTATTAACAGTGGATTTACTAACAGTTGGTTAATTTATTAACAGTGGATTTACTAACAGTTGATTAATTTATTAACAGTTGATTAATTTAATAACAGTGGATTAATTTATTAACAGTGGATTTACTAACAGTTGGTTAATTTATTAACAGTGGATTAATTTATTAACAGTAGATTAATTTAATGACAGTCGATTTACTAACAGTGGATTAATTTATTAACAGTGGATTTACTAACAGTTGATTAATTTATTAACAGTGGATTTACTAACAGTTGGTTAATTTATTAACAGTGGATTTACTAACAGTGGATTAATTTAATGACAGTCGATTTACTAACAGTTGGTTAATTTATTAACAGTGGATTTACTAACAGTTGGTTAATTTATTAACAGTGGATTAATTTATTAACAGTTGATTAATTTAATAACAGTCGATTTACTAACAATGGATTAATTTATTAACAGTGGATTTACTAACAGTGGATTAATTTATTAACAGTGGATTTACTAACAGTTGGTTAATTTATTAACAGTGGATTAATTTATTAACAGTGGTTTTACTAACAGTTGGTTAATTTATTAACAGTGGATTAATTTATTAACAGTGGATTAACTAACAGTTGATTAATTTATTAACAGTGGATTTACTAACAGTTGGTTAATTTATTTACAGTGGATTTACTGACAGTTGATTAATTTATCAACAGTTGATTAATTTACTAACAGTTGATTAATTTCTTAATAGTTGATTTACTAAGAGTTACTTAATTTATTAACAGTTGATTAACTAACAGTTGATTAATTTATTAACAGTGGATTAATTTATTAACAGTGGATTAATTTAATAACAGTCGATTTACTAACAGTTGATTAATTTAATAACAGTCGATTTACTAACAGTGGATTAATTTATTAACAGTGGATTTACTAACAGTTGATTAATTTATTAACAGTGGATTAATTTATTAAAAGTGGATTCCTTATCATCAATGGACATCCTTTAAAGATTTGTTTACAGAAGTCATTCATAGTTATTCATGCATATCTAACGCGCAGAAAATGCAATTTTTAAAAAGCAAAGTTCGTGGAGAGGCCGAACTATTAATTCAACACCTTTCGATTAGTGCAGAAAACTATACGACCTGTTGGGATATTCTTAATCATAGATATAATAATAAAAAACTTATTTTTTCATCCCACTTGAATATTCTTTTAAATCTTCCCGTAATGCAACAAATATCAATTAATCAAATAAAACGCCTATACGAACTACTTTAGAGAGTATAAATGGAATCAAAAATCTTGGCATAGATGTAAGTACATGGGACCCATTATTAGTTCATATTTTATCACAAATGTTCAATATTATAAAACGACAACGGAACGGCTGACTGATATGACAAATATAAAACAAAGAATGGCATTCTCAAACGTCCAATTACAAAGGTATCAATATTGCCCGTAAACAGCACAATTTAGGATAGTAACACAGAGAAAATACGATCGGAACAATCCTCTGAACCGACGAAAAACAAACAAGAATAACAACTCGTCGTGGACTCAGTTCTACGATCATGACTTTGTTTTCTTCATGATCACTATATCCAGCACATATTCGACTTAAAATATAAATACGTATTGGGGAGGAATAACAGCCATTAATAAGTATAAACAATCACTCGAACAAAACTGCGAAACAATAAGAACTCAGACACGATGCGAGTTATTATTATTACAATTAGGTCAAGGGTGCGAAGAACTGGAATATTACAATCAGCTGTTACTTGGTCAGCATATTTTGTCCTCGTCGGCCAGGCTGCGGCGAGGTCTTATTAACGGTGTCGGCTATCTGGCAAATAGCCTGTTCGGAGTACTGGACGCAAGATTCGCAGAACAATATGAAAGACATATCACATTACTTCGTACTAACCAAATTAAACTTAGCTTCAACTGGACACATCAAACTTCTATAATTGAAGCTGGAAGTAACGTTCTTAAGCGTGTGGAGCACAATTAGCAAGCAGTATAAAATGATTCATCGGCACATTAATTTATATGATCAATCGACAAATATGTTTCAATCAGAAATTCAAAATATATCAATAAATAATTAATGAAATGCTCGCAGGAGCTGTCATCGGAAGTAACATGCTTAATAATCTAAAAAATTTACAGAGTACGTTACTAGACACCATTATACATATATACCATGGTCAATTCAATCCACAGTTAATGACACCTAAGCTGTTGGGAGAGCAACTTAGTAATATAGCTAGTTAACTATATAAAGACGTCACCTTACCTTTACCCAATATACAAATACAAACAAATAAAATATATAAATTGATTCAATCGAGAGCAAGAATATTAGAAAAATATTTAATAATAGAGATAAGAATATCATTGGTAATTAGAGACACTTCAAGATTGTAAAGTTTGAATTATTATCAATATTGTCTAATTTTATATAAGTTGTTTGGTTTTCTTAAATATTACTTATATTATCTTATACCATAATTTGTATACCTTCATAGCATTTATAATTTTTTTTCTTTGTATTTCTTCCTGTCGGGAGTATGTATGGGTTCACCCATACATTAACATAATTTCATTGTACATACACATTCATAAGCAAATATAAATGTAAGCATTGTCATAATTTAGTCAGTATCAATAAAGCTTTCAAATAAACAGGTCGTTCTCATTACCTAAACGCGATACTCACAAACTATCTGGTCTCCATAAACTATCAAATCTAAATGGTGTGTGGTACCAAATCCATACAGATTTTTTTTATTTTTTTTAAACATATCTACTCTCTTTTAACCAAATGCTATACCATTCCTTTATTATAATCCTTAATATTCAAATAAATTTACTATAACTGTGTAAATGTTTGTTTCGCGACTAATATGCTTAGCCATTTGTTACAAAATTGGATATGGATAGTCTGAAATCTGAAAAAGAACATAAGCTACTTTTTATCAAAACTCAGCGCGTGCGAAGCCGCGGGCGGAAGCTAGTATAAGTGTAAGTAATAAACCTATGTCAGAAAATTCATGCCATTTTATAATACATGCAATAAATGAAATAGCATGAAGAGTAAAAACTATTCAACATGATAAATTACAAATTCGAAATATAGCTTAGACACTGTAAATATATCCATATATTAAAATGTAATTAAATATTAAGCTTTTTCCTTTTTATTTGCAGCCTTTCCTTTTTATTTTTTATTACTTTTGTTTCTGTCTTAATGCTTTCAGCCTTTATAGTTGCCACCTCATTCTCATTTTTAGTATTATCTGTCGATTGAGTTGTTGGTTCTGTTTTCACAACTTCATCAATAGCTTCTTGTTTTCTACAAGATTTACATAAATAAATATTAAGACACAGAAAGTATAGGAAAAACTTTATATCTGTACAACTTACATAACATTTTCACTTGGAAGTGAAACTTCTTTAGTCAGAAGGTCCTCTGATATGTCTGTATCACCAAAGTTTTCTTCAAAAGCATTGTGCTTCTTCATATGCGCTTCATCATTATAAGCTGGTATGGCAGCTGTGAATTAAAACAAACAGCACAATTACTACAAAATTCAATTATATTTTCTTAGAGGTCATATATCATGACAAAGTTTTTAAATAATTCTACATTTTTATCTTATATAATAATAGGATTTCTTTTAAATTTAATGCAATGTTTGATACTTGCCTACAGCTTAATTATAATTTTTTTATACAATGATAAATATCTTCATAATTCATTTGTTTTTTAATACAAATAAAAGTAACTTGTTACCTTGATAAATTATAGCTTTGGTTGCTTCTACCCATATAATTTTTAACATATACAGGGTGACTGGTGAATTACTATCAATATTTAAGGAGCATACTCGGTACATGATTCTCATTCAAATTATGTAAAAAAAAATAGGTACTTAATTTTTGACAAAATTTCCGTATAAATAAATAAAGTGTTGACACGTTCCAAGTGTTCCAAGTGTGGACGCGTACGGCGGCGTGCTGATACAAAACCACGCCCCCGCCGCGTATGTGTGAGTGTTTGTGTATACCTAATCTGTAGGGTGCTCACACGATGCGTAATTAATTACATAACTTTTGGTTAACTTTACTTAGAAGTTTATTAATATTTATGTTATATTAATTTTTATTTTGTCATATATGATCGTCAACTACCACGTCCTCAAATATCGATAGTAATTCACCAGTCACCCTGTATTTGCAATGATATTGAAATAAATATTCCAACTCTCATATTATGGTTTGAACTTTCATTTAGTATTAAGAGTATGGATAGATAAAAACATGAATTTCTTCAAGTTAAACACATGTGAGGATTATTAGAAATTATTGGCTGCACAAAATAATACTTTAAAAATAATTATGTGCTTTCTATTACGGTTTTCATTTTAAAATTTATAAGAAAGCAATTGTAATTCAATTTGTATACACATGCATTTATTAATACAAATGAGTCAGAAATATAATTTATACAGACTTCAGTTCATGGCAATGTTGTTCAAGTTCATTGATCAAGGTGATAATGATAAGAAATCTTTTAATTAAATCATGACGACTTACTATATTTGATTTTTCCTCCCAATTTCTTGTATTGTTCAATTTCATCATCTTTAGTTATAAGTGTTAATCGTAGTTGTTTTTCGCTTCTCCTCAAATCATCAACCGTCCTTATAGCTGGTTGAGTAACATTCTTAAAAAACTGTAAAATATATGAAATTTATAATTAATAATAGTGCTACTTTAAAACTGCCAGACAACAATATAAAAATGTGTCTTAATATTTTAATAATATGCGAGTTTACTATTTCCATAGATAATTTTATGATTATAATTTTGTAATAAGATATTATTGTTGGTAGTAAACAAATTGAGTTTATTTTACAAAATAAACAAGGCAAAGACAGTTATTCAACTAGATAAGACTATCTAGGCTTAAAACTGTTTCACTACATAATTATAGATATAAATTAAATCCTGTAGTCTATGTAATTAATATAAAACACACATTCTCAAATTTAAGATACATAATACTGGATATAACAGGCATTTAAAGGATAACTTTGTGTTATTTAACACAGACACATAATACAAAGATATAATAAGACTACTATGATCTATTGATACACTATGATGTATGGACTGAAAATGTATAAATAAAAATTGGAGTTTGCTTATAAAGATCATTCCAGCATCTTTAAAATGTTTACAACTATATACCGTTGACATATTTTCTACAAGTTGTCTATATTTAGTATGATATTTATCTATTCTGTGATGTACGCTTACAATTTAGAATATATTGAGCAAGCTTCACTCAATCGCTTATACTTTTCTTGTTGTGGTATTATCTGAAGTACTGGCCAATCTGATTTAAGACTAATGGCTATCTGCTCTATTGGTTTAATGTCAGTTTTATTTTAATCATTATGAACTATAATCTCGGTATCAACATAAGCAATCTATTGGCTTATGGCAAATGGCATGATAAATTGGAACTATGATTCCAATATGATGTTATAGGGAAGAAACAGTCTACTCAAACACAGGAGTAGAAGAGAATTCTTGATAGACATATCCATATACATGTATGGCAAAGATTTTGTCTTTTGCACATTAAAATATTTTTTCATTGAAAAATCAAACACTCACTAGTTCTGGTGAACCTTCATATAATAAAATTTTAAGGTTGAAAGGAAATCCACACAGCATTAACATTGTTATTTCAAGTCTAGAATTCGATGGTAAAACACAAATGCTTTCAAGATCGTTAGGGCATGTCAACATTTTATTACCTTTCTCCAATAGTTCATTCAAATCCATCTCTAATCCATCATTACTTTCCTGTAAAAATAATTGGCAAATTATTATAGACACATTTCAACTTTTGTATGAATTTTCTATAAAATAAATGGCTCAAAATATCGTTTTACCTTGAGACATGTTATTAAGTCATTTTCTGAATAAAATGCTTCCCATATCCGTATATAATCCGTGACCATTATATGTAATTGTCTTTCTCTCACCAGTTTAATGTGGTAGAGAGGACATTTCTCTAGCTGCGTCCACATTTTAAAAATCGTTGGTGAATAATTTTCTTTATTTATGAAGTTTTGGGTGACAATTGACATTTGGGATTTTGACGTATTAAACTGGTGCACAACGAATGTTCTATAGACTATATGGCTTCATCCAAAATACGATGTTTTAAAAAGTGGAAAACCTAAAATACAGTATTAAAAAAACTTACTTTAGTTAATATTTTAGGAAAACTTATGAAAAACTTTTATCTTTCGGGCTTAAAATTTTGTCAGTTACTGAGATGTGAAAAGCTGGACAAGAAATTAGGATGAAATAATACCACTTTAATATCGATAAAAAATTGGTTGTTTGTAAAGTAGGTTTACGATCGAGATGTTTACGTGATAACGTCTTATTGGTGATATAAGTTTTTGGGAAGTAAAACATTCAACGAAAACTTAACCGCACGAGAAAATCTCCATTCGTTTGTATGCCGCTAGAGTGAGAGAGACGGAAGATCGGTCCACTCACTCGAACGCTATGCCTGCCTCCGGTCGTGATGATTCCGCGTGACAAGTTTCACGGAATGACTGGCAGCGCTCGAGATGAGACGGGAGATCGGTCCGTCTCTCTCTCGTTATACCTGCGATCGCGCTCGTGAGGTTTTGATGTGACACAAGTTTCTGAACATGTCACCTGACTAAAACGATTTTAAAGACGTTATCACGCCAAAATATTTCACTGGATGGTGATCTACTGTCATTTAACAAACACACTATCTAGATAAAACTTTTTCGTGAAGACACCCAAATTATAATTTAAAGGAAACTAAATATTCCAATCTTTGGCTGTGCACATGGGGAGACAAGAAGAATATAGCTTATTCCAAATGCGAGGAAGATCTGCAATAAAAGTACTGTGGTTATGATTACGAGTAACAACATTAAAAAAATGTCTAATTTAAGATATTATACTTATATCGTAATTTGTTCAAGTTTAATGTTAGAAATGATGTTTTTATTTTATTTTCTTATATTTTAGTTTAATTAGATATAGTAATAATACCAATTACTTTAACATGTAGTCGGTTAATGAACTTTGACTCCGCAGTAAATATTTTAAAATTTAAATGTACATAAAATGTAATCTTTCTTCGTCGCGTCGTCCTTTTCCTCGACGTAATAAATCAGATTATCGTCGGCAATCACAATTTACATGAAAATTGGTTCCAGTCTGGTATTTCCTTCGTCTCTCATTTCCTTTCCCTAAATAAATTGTAGTTATAGCAAGTAAAAAAAAACAAGTAAATACCTGGAAGGTTACTTAGTTAAAAAAGTTGTTTGTAAGCTGCATTAGCTACAGTCGGAAGGGCGAAGAAAAATCAAAAAGTGTTCTGTACTAAATTTATTAATTAAAATTATCATAATTTAGCCAATCTTGGTCCACTGCTGGACATAGGCCTCTCCCAATTCGCACCACAATACCCGGTCCTCCGCCTTCCACATCCAGTCCCCTCCAGCTTTTTCAGGTCGTCAGTCCAATTGGGGGGGGGGGGGGTCGTCCTAACAGTATTGGACTACGGTAAGAAACAATTATAAGTAAGATTGTAAGTACTGGGTGTTAAATTAGAATTCTTAAGAAATGTTACCTACATTTCTTATAAGAATGATAAATTAACGTTATTGTTTGATTCGAGGAAATTTGCAATCAGCTAATTTCTCTTATAGCCGTTAGAATAATGACAATAAAGAATTTAATTTTCAAGTATCATTTTAGCATACTAGAGAATCTCCATAATTGCTTCTTTTGATCGAAATCGATATATTTCTGCTATCTTTCATAAGACGTGAGTATGCCAGTTGCAAATTGTTTGTTTAGCTATAAAAGGATGCCCTTTTCTTATTGCAAAAATTAAGCAGTTTCTCTCAATAGTATTCTCAATAAAAAAAAAAAACATCATATAGACTTAATGAATTGAGTCTTGAAATGTCTGATTTACGTTACACATTATTTATTTACACATATGTATATCAAATATGGTGGTAAGAGATATGACTATAAATCTTAAACATTTTAACACAAAAGGAAGTTAGTAGGAGCATAAATAACAGTTCTGGTTTATTGCGGTCGATTGAGTTTGACGCGGGTTGAGTTCTAGTTCCCGACAGTTATCTTGAAACTAATGGTTTATTTGAACGTGGATCTGAAACTCTGTTCACAAATTTCTCTTATTATTACAATTCGTTAGGCGACTAACTGTTGTTTCATTAAGACGTCATTGGATTAATTGAGATTTAAAAGGAATAAAGAAGAAATACTTTACAAGGTATATAAAAAAAGAATATGCTATTTGTTTTTAAATCCGACTAGAGCTCTAAGTCCACGTAGTGCGTAGCGTTATACTATTTTGTATTGTTTTAAATGTCTTAGAAAGTCTGTTAATTGTCAAACAAAACGGGACTCTCTGATTGGTCGGTAAACTTCATATATTTTTTTCGCCAATTTATTATTACTGAATATTGCTATATTTGGTGATTTCAAACTTATAATTGTGAAACTATAAGTCCAGGTTTCCTCACGATGTTTTCCTTCACCGTATGTCAGTGGTGTCTAAATACTCTCAGAAAGTACATTTGACTCCGAAAAATCACCTTGGTACTTGCCAGGTTTGAACCCGCGCCCTCGGCAACGAGAGGCGAACCATTTAACCACTAGGCCACCACTGACTCGTCTTGAGCCAGCGTGGTGATTAATGCTCAAAACCTTCTCCATGTGAGAAGAGGCTATGCTCAGCAGTGGGCGTTGATAGGCTGATGACATGACATTGCTATATTTTGTCTTTCTAAGTGCAAGTGAATAAGTTTTAATCAGTAAACAGTGGATTAATTCATTAACGAATTATGGAAAATATAGCTGTGAGTTCTGTGCTTGTGATGTGTGTTTAGGGTTGCCAACCGTACTATAATATATAGTATTGTACTATATTTCGGGTCTGCGTACTGTATACTGTTGAAAAAATATATAGTATGTAAAAATACTATATTTTTTCAACACCGACAAATCTAACAACCAAATCCTTAATTTTAAAAAAAATAAGAACGCACCTTTAAAGTACCCGATAGGCGATAACGTCCGAAAGCTTGCGTTACGAACTTGTCAATGTCAAATTGACAACGTCAATTTTGACGTCGTCAAACAAGATTTTGGTCTGCTTTATTTATCTATCGGCAGAATTGTTTTCAATTAGATGTTGTTATTTCATTTGTGGAAATCCTAAATAAATTAGGTATAGAAAGTGGCAGCGATAACGAATGTGCGTCAAATTCTAGTGCGCCCCTAACGCCGACTAAAAAACGAAAAATAATAAAAAGACTCAATATAAACAGAAAAGATATTTTCGGTTATGAATTCGAAGTGGCGAGAAGAAAGAAACAGAAGTAGTATATCATTAATAAAAAATGAGCTTTTGATTTAATTTAATTTAAAAATAGAATGTGACAAAGCATATGACACTTTTATTTTAAACAAAAAACTGTTACACGGTGCAAAAAGTGGAAAAAAAAATACTATATTTCTTTAAATGTAATATATTTTTTACACCTTATTTTGGTAAATACTATATTTCGCTGATGAAATGTTGGCAACCCTATGTGTGTTTATCGTAGTGATATGAGTAGATGTTCAATATTATTGTCGTTTGATGATAAAATAATTAAAATAAGTGTAAAGTCAAAGTGTGTGACCGGTTGAGATTGAACTAAAAGAAAGGTAAGGTTATTGTTAGTTTTAATTAGTTAGCAGGTTGTGTACACACAAATAAGTTATTTTGTTTGCTTTGTTTGTTGTTTTCAAATGATAATTATAACAATGTTTGAATCTCCACTGGATATTCCTATTTAAATCGTTATCGTTTTAAGGTACTTTCGTTGCTCAGAGGTAAGTAGATGAGAGATTCATAAAGTATAATATATAGTCGTATTTTTATTTACGAAGCCAACTGACAAGTGATAATAGCTAATGTCACTTTGTTAAATAATGTTGCCATATTTAAAGTAATAGTGATGTTTTGAGTTTTCGTTCAGATGAATGAATAATGAATGTAAATAGTTATTTATTTGAAAATATAATGATTAAAAATAATATTTATATTTTACAATAAAATAGTATAAAAGTGCTCTGATATAAGTTACTAGTATGTAGTATGTAACTACTCATATATGTAATTAAAGAAGAAGACAAAATGTATGGTCTCGACCACATGATTGACAATCTTCAGACAAATTAAGTATTCAGTGATTTTTTTATTTTCATTGCCTATGCCGTTGTTATATTTTATACATCTATATTTTCATAATATACTGAAAATAGGGCTTTAATGTTTAAAATACTCGGTATTCAGTATAGGTAGATAGTATAGGAACATAGCCGTCGAAAAATCATTCGTAAGTTTTAACTAAGCACTATTGAAATTCGAAATTCAAACCTAATATCGGCAGATTCTCACGCTAAGTATTCACTAAACCATGAAAGGAATTTCATTCATTTAAGATTTTTTTCCAATCATTCACTTTGTCATAACTCATAACACTATTTTTTTTCACTAAAAAGTGACAACACAGTAAATGTCAGTTGACTTCGTCTAATTAAAAATATGACTATAGATGTTCGTACTTCGTTCTGATCGGACTGCTGTTACATTATGCGAGAATATTATTAATGTTTAAATGAAATTAATTTTTTCTGATTACTTCACGTGTTTTAATATGTTTAATAACTACATGCTCCCGACGTTTCGTTAACTTTGCAGCAACCGTGATCACGGCAGACATCTCGTCTGCCCGTTAAAAATAGTTAAAGTACTAGTTTCATTTGAAATTTAAATCCATACTTGCGAAATATATCATCATTAGTAATGTTTTAGAGGTGGAAATGATGAAAATCGGTATTTTATTTTTCAAACATATTCTGCTTACTCTACCACAAATCTCTGTGCACGCCATTGCGTTACAGTGCAGAATATACAGGGTGACTGGTGAATTACTATCGATAC